TATTCAGCTAGAAAGAAGTTCATTCAAAAGCCGACATCCTAAGGTATCTGAATTATTACAGAATCATGCTTCAAGATGATCAATTTTGCAACTTTACTTAATTAATCTCTTCAAAACGAAAACGCATATCGGAATTTTGGCTGACATTTCATGAGTTAGCCCCCTACTATAGTATCTGTTGGTTGGGCCTGGGAATATTATCTCCTCAACAATGAAATTTTACCTGTTTACATACAGGTTCTGGGTTGTACTTTGGCCGATTTGCAGGCTGCTCGAGGATGGTTAATAAGCTAAAATTAGCCTTTGAATTCTCCCACATCTTTGCCGGTGGTCTTAGTAATTTAATGTAGGCCTACATGGAATACCAATGAAGGCCCATCTTTATAAACCCACATAGGCATCGGTATGAAGAGCTAGCGAGTTAAGTGAGATTTTACTAATGTGTGGGCAATTCGCCGTGAGCTATAAATGCTTAAATGTCTGCATATTTGTCCATAGAGTCTTTCGCAACTGATCTTTCTTTGTGAAAACCACTCGCCGATCTCCTAAAATGTAAGCCGAAATTCTGAAATGCGTTTTCAATTTGGACGGATTACTCAAGAGAGATTGCAGTACTTCTTACGTTATGGAACAACCCCGCCATATTCAGGACATGCCAGGATGCTGGCTCATAGGTTCACTTCTTTTTGGTCGTCTGCAAAACTGCATTCAATAAAATATGACAACTTACGTAGTATGCATTTCTTCTATTGATTTTCGATGTCCTTAAAAATTAAACAATATTTTGAAGAAAATAGATACAAAAATATTCTGTGTTGGGCGCATTTACGATCAAATCACATCGTCTTCAAAATTTATACTCAAAGAAAGGGTATCTGTCGGTTTTATAAGATGTTTCTAATTACAAGGTTTTTTAAAGACTGGCATCCTATCTTTCTTTTTAAATATTGATCTTTATTATATATATATATATATTGAAATCAAAAACGTTCTTTGGGAAAGGGAGAAAACTTTATTGAGTAAATTTTCGACGTCGGTTCCCCGTGTCGTCGTCAGACTAGAGTAAATGTGCTGAAAACAATTAAAATTTCAAACGTGCTACAAAATCAATACTCATTTGGTGCCTCAGCTAGTAAGCTGCCGTCGTGTCAGTCCGTATTGATCGGCTTTTGTCTCTTCCACTTTTCTCTGAGATTCTTATACGTGGCATCTACCTCGATATGCCTGTTGATGCATGACTCATCGGAGTGCATGGCTTCAAGAAACTCTCGGCCTTTTTTAGATGGGCAAACTCCGACGATGCGAGTTTTGTCCCATGCACACTCTTGATACTGGGCACAATTTCGCATTGGACAAAACTCGCATCGTCGGAGTTTGCCCATCTAAAAAAGGCCGAGAGTTTCTTGAAGCCATGCACTCCGATGAGTCATGCATCAACAGGCATATCGAGTTAGATGCCACGTATAAGAATCTCAGAGAAAAGTGGAAGAGACAAAAGCCGATCAATACGGACTGACACGACGGCAGCTTACTAGCTGAGGCACCAAATGAGTATTGATTTTGTAGCACGTTTGAAATTTTAATTGTTTTCAGCACATTTACTCTAGTCTGACGACGACACGGGGAACCGACGTCGAAAATTTACTCAATAAAGTTTTCTCCCTTTCCCAAAGAACGTTTTTGATTTCAATTTATATTTCTTGGAATGCCTGCGTTCCAATATATATATATATATATATATATATATATAATAACACACATTTATCGTAATAATTTAGGGGCCTTATATGTTATTTTCGTAAAAACAAAGAGGAATGAATGTCCTCCCCTATGCGGAAAGCACGCAGCTTAGAGACCGGAAACTCTAAAGGAAAATGCAATAGTAGGTTCAAATTAAAATAAATCAAGAATTTGAAAACGGGTGAAGACCAAAAGATGCTCTTAGGAAAGACATGGTTTGCTACAAACTGAGTACACAAATACTATTTTATTGAGATTTACTATAAAATGTGTTTGTAATCATAAGGGCTCCAAAAAATCAACTGTGGAAACACTCCTTCACAAGTAGTCATTTTAATCAAGCGTAGTTTTTGGAGGCGTCCACGAAGAAGTGCATTTCAAAGTAAAACTTCTGGCATTTCTCCAATATTTCGGAATTACTAAAAGACCACTTAAGTAATCCCTCCTAATTAAAAAGTCATTTTAGGGTAAGGTGATACCATACTAACATTGTCGAATTTAGACTAACATTTCATGGGACTGGTCACTAACTATATATGCTTAGCTTTACACGGCGCCTATCCATTTATGATTCAGATTTGTACGAAATTATTTCATATTTAAGTAAACCGTCGCTTGCAAATTTGAGGCAGGTCAGGAACCACAGTAACGAGCAACCGATAGGAATGATCAACAGCGAGTGACACAGTGTAGACGTGAAAAGTGACTGAGAGGTAACGCGATGCATATTAATGTTAGAGGAGCTATGCAGTTGAACCTTAATGAAGAAGAAGAGAGTCAAATAACTTATGTATGAACGCCTGTTTGTATATGTATGATAAGGCAACATATAAATATAATATGTTAATTGACTTTTTTCCTTCCAAAGTGCAGATCATCGGCTCTAAGCCAAAGAAAATTCATACAACGCCAGCCTAAATCCAGTGGGGTTACATAACCTATCCTAACCGAGTTGTATGATATTTGTTGGATGTCTAAAATGCTAACTCGTGCTATACAACTTTTCCTATTTTTTCTTGGGTCTCTTCTATCCCCTGAGCTCCTCTGATCACTGCACTTGCTCTGGCAACAGCCTGTTATACCAGTCGATCCATTCACGGTTCAGCCACTAATGGAAATATTTCTGTCCACCATAGATCTCAGGCGACCGTTTATTTGTCTTCTGAAAAAACCTCCTTGGAATTTGTTTTTATTGGATTAAGCTTAGTAAGCAGGATAGTTTTTCTAAACTGCGCCGTCTATTTGTGGTTAGATGTCAGTGATACTGTTTTTACAGATCTCAGTTGTGTACGGTCGCTAAACCTGTGGCCAAGTAAACTGAACTCTCATCCTTTGAAGAAGTTGCCGCCACAAACTGACTGAACAATCAACAGGGTGTACATATTCAACGAGTAGTAGCTTTTTGAAGCAAGACATATTTACCGTTAGCAACGGGGATCTTACCTAGGTTTGATGAATTCCCAGTACACAGTTGGGGAGAATGGCACGATGCGTTTTCTCTCTGTCTCATTAATGGGGACGAAAATGAATCATTATGCCCGAAGCTGGCGAAAATAACGCCGTGGGGAGAAGCTCAGACGGGCGTCTCGGCTGGCTGCTACACCAGCTCCGTCTGCCAAAACCGTATGTCTGTTGGGAATTCTCCTGCATCTTCGCCGTCCGTTCCCATCAACCTACTTTCCGCAGGTGCCGGGGATGGAGTAAACCGTCCCGAGAATTCTAAATGAGGTCCAGCCTCTCCTATGACTTTGTACTGCCTGGTCTTGTAGTCGGTCCATCTAACGTAACGCAGTAGTCTCTTTTCAAAACAATTCCCCGAACTTTTTATTGCAGAGAGTTTTTACGCTCATGGTGCAGTGCATAGGCGTTAATCCAGTGAATATTCAGCGTTCGCATCCTCCTTACCCTCGATTCCGCCTCTGTACATTTTCCACATAAAAAGACATCAAAATATTACGATGCATCCATCGAGGCTTTTTTCTGCTGTCGATGCTTTTTGTTATTTCCTGGACAGTTTTGCAGCTGACAAACTCCTTGCTGACTGCGCATCCGAAGTTGTGGCTCGCCTCTTTGATTTTAGTCTGACAGCCCACAGTCACCTCATTCAACTAAGGCCGAATTTCGTCCAATTTCAAACCTAATGTCAGCGTTCCGTGTTATAATCATTCATTGACAGAGTGCAAAGACACAAAAAACTTGTAAAATACTTCTAAAAACACTTCTTTGATTACCGTTCTTGCTTTCGCGAAAGCCTGTTATATCAGCTGGTATCAGGCGAGGCCTTCCCAGGTACCCTGAATCATTTGCAGAGGTTTCAGCGGTGTTTTCCAAATGTCCCCAAAGCAGAGCTTTCTCCGTCTTGTTTGCGGTCATGCGTAGCTTGTACAAGCACCGTCATCCATCTCTATGACTTGACTAGTTCATAGCCGTCGTTCATGTCCCAGAGTGAATTTCGACCAAGTACATAATCTGTTTCTTGTTTAAACGGATGCTTCGGCGATTAAAAACGGACTGCTGCAACCGAGTTCAGGCCTGGTTAGCTTTGAGTAGCCGGTGGAAAAGTGTATCGTGGATCATAATTTTTGCTGAAAATTATACCCTTCGGGCATCTAATTTGGCCAGAGGGCCTAGCGAGTTCCAATAACATTTTTACTGGACTGGTTGTATTTGCCGGTTGGCAAAGGTCGATGCATATTTACTAGCTTCTCTGTTTTACGGCCAATCCTATGTTTGAGCAGCCGAAGGCAAAGAGGTCCCTGTCTTGATGGCTGCCTTAGGTGCTCATGAATATTAGCCTTGCAGACCCGCGTCATATCCTATTTGTCACATTGAGCAACTGCCCGTCAGTTCTGTGAATGATTTTCATTTCTGGCCGCTTCTCACTGTAGGCCAATCCCATGACAACGAAAACACAAACAAAAAAACCAAAATTAATCTTATTTTGCATTGTGAATGCATTCGAGACCGGTCAGCCGGATTGCGACGTACATCTTCACTAACTGTCTCTAAGGCCTTTGTCAAACTTATAAATGTGGTGTAGCGTTCTGTTTGCACTTCCAGACTTTCCTATTTGAAATGGCGGCTAACTGAGACCTTGTCGATGTTCCTTTGATTATCTCCAAATTAATACTTACTTTTAAGGAGAAGTCCGGGCTCTATTTAAAGGTTCAGACGATTGTGTAAGATGCGATCTACGATTCTGTTCGCTATGCTGAGAGGAGAATTTGACTCCGCGGTCTGCATGGAGTTGCTGGCTCACCTTACGTTCGAACAAAATGAGGATATTTGCATCCGTTACGTCCCAAGGGATTTATTCTTGTCTCCTTCTTCGCCTCCTCCTCCTCCTCCTCCTCCTCCTCCTCCTCCTCCTCTTCCTCCTCTTCCTCGTTCTCCTCTTCCACCTCCTCCTCCTCCTCCTCCTCCTCCTCCTCCTCCTCCCCCTCCTCCTCCGCAGTAATTAGGATAGTTTGTCCATGACCTGATGTCCGCCACACTTATAAAGTCCAGCCATAAATGCGGCAGTGTCCGGGACATTGCCATATTTGATGGTATCTTGCATGGAGGACGAACGATCGAAGACTGCATTACAGTTGTGGGAGACTGCTCCTGGCTTCATCGGTTATTGTGAATGACGGATTACGGACGCGTCTGCGATGCCCGACTCAGCCCTTGACAACTTGCAGCTTTTTTGTTAAGAGAGTCGTCGTTGAATAATAGCGCGTTGTCTTAGAAATCGCCGGCCCTTTTGATGCACGCAGATAAGCCCTTCATTTTACATAGATTTACGTATCCTCTTCTTTCTTCAACCTCGTTAAGCCTCTTAATATTTTGCATCTTCAGCAGCCATCACATTAGGCCTTGATATCTGAAGGGAGGCGTTTTATTTGCTTCGATTTTGAGGTTAAAATACGCCATATGCAGTCTTTTCGGCTCAGACGGTAGATTGCAATTTTTCCGTTATAATGATCAAACAGACAGTTAGACTATCGCATACGACGACGCCCACCGCCTGACTCACGGAGTGTGTGCAGTACGGGTGACTTTCACGTAAAGTGAAATTGACTTTACAGCATCTACCACGCTCGCTCCTCCTCACCCGCCTTGCACCGATGGGAAGACAAGGTAAGACAACCGAAATTGGACTCGGACGTCTAATCAAACCACAGACACACACACGGCAGTTCGACCGTCGTTGCCGACGATGTCCACCGTGTGCTCCAGAGAAAAGTAAAGCCGGCACGGTGACTCGCGCGTGAATTGGTTTGTAGTGAGTGTGGACTTACGCAGCATCTACCGCACTCTATCCTCCTATGACCCATCGAGACACAATGTCAAGAGATACTCAAGTAGAGTGCCCATCAAAGATTTCAGGAGACCGTTTACTTGTCTCCATCTTCTGGAAAAACCTCTTTGAAATTTGGCACTTTATTTGACTAGGTTCAATAAGCAGGAGAATTTTTCCACGCTGCCCTCTCTATTTCTGGTTAGATATCTGTGATACAGTTTTTACAGATCTCAACTGCGTATAGTCGATAAACCTGCGGCCCAGTTAACTGAGCCCCTACCCTTTGAAGTACGTGTTACCACAAACTGACTCTCCAGTCGGCAGGGTGTGCATATCCAATGAGTAGTAGCTTTTGAAGCAAGATTTATTTACCGTTAGCAACGGGAATCTTACTTAGGTTTGATGAATTCCCAGTTCACAGTCGGGGAGGAAGGGCGTCATGCTTATTCTCTCTATACCAACGATGGGGACAAAATGTATCCTTATGACGGGCACCGGCGAAAACAACACCGTAGGAAGGAGTGCGGAGTGGCGCCTCAGCTGTCCGCTACACCAGCTCCGTCTGCCACAACCGTATGTTTTTCTACTAATACTTAGCCTATTGAGAATTCTCCTGCATATTCACCGTCCGTTCCCGTCAACCTACTTTCCGCAGGTGCCGGGGGTAGATTCAACCGCCCCGAGAATTCTGAATGAGGTCCACCTCCTTGAGCTCTATCTCCTGCACTCGTTCATCCTCCCCAACCTGAGCCCCGTGTCAAGACAGAGCCAAGAAAACCGGTGGCGCGTGGTTGGGGGTGGGGGGAGGATAGCAGGTGGATGGCAGGATCAAGCCCCCACCTTGGCAAAACCCTCCCCACTTCCTGGCCCAAGGAGCGAATTATCGATTTTTAGTCCAATAACAAAAGGGTGGCTGACTCGGCCGCACCTAGGCGTGCCATCAAACCCGGTTCAGATCCCACACAGGAGGATTGCCATAAAGGCCACATTAAGAAGGAGCCATTTCAGCCTGCCTCCTAGACCCCAAGTCGGCCGCTCTTCACAAAGAACCAACACTAGGCGATTGCGATATCTAATTATCCCGTCAGTTGACAAACTTCCATCCACGGCTTTGGATGCTCTGAGATAGCTTCAAGCGCATCAGATTGTTTACAGTGAGGACAGTGCTCTGAGTCGTCGACCTCGCTTTCCCCTCCCATTCCAAGGCCGAGCCGGTCAGTTGATCGGTGCGGGGAATTGACGTGGTGGCCGAAGTATCCAGTGACCTTGTCTGAGCGTGAGACATGCACGGCCTGCCCCCACTCAAACTCAAGTACCAGGACTTCACACAACGGGAGTTGGGCGGCATACATCTCACATGCTTGAGAGTGCCATATGCCACGTTAGGAGGGGGCCAGTGATATGGGAATTTTAATGGGCGTGTACGTGGTGCATGTGTTGTTGGGTGTGGTCATGTAATTGTGTCTGCGGTGATTTGTCGTTGGTTTTCGTGAATGCGCATGTGACCTAGTAAGCCAGTGCGTTGGCTGAATATGTTAACGCAATGCGGGCACTTCAGGCGAGTGCCGTGTGTGGCGGTGCTCCAGGCACTGATTCGTCCGACAACGCTGATGTGTGGGTTGAATGTGCAGTGATAATGTGAGCAGGATGGGTTTGGAGCCAAAGAGTTGGTTTAAGTGGTGGTGGTGGTGTTGGTGATGGTGCTGTTGCCGCCGCTGGTGCTGATAATAGTGTACGCGCTGGGTTATTAGGGTGTGATTATTATTACATTAGGTAGGCTAACTCATGAAATTCCAACTGCAATTCCGAAATGCCTTCTCGTTTCGAAAAGATTAATTAAGATATGTAGTAAAACTAGTCGGCCTGCAACATAATTCTATAATATTTCAGTTTCCTCAGGAGGCCGGCTTTCGAATGAACTTCCTTCCAGCTGCAGGAAAACACGACACTCTGTAAAAATGACTGATTAAGTAGCATGCATTTTTCTCATTGATTTTTGATGCTCCTAAAAGTCCAATTTTATTTAATTTTAAAAAATGTATAAAAATATTCATTCTTTTGCTTATTCGGTAGAAAATTAAGCCTTCTCCTAATTTTCTGCTTGATAAAGGGGCATAATTCGGTTTTAAAAAAGTTTCTAACTGCGCACGTTTAAATACCGTGAAATGGCCGTTCATAAATCATCATGTCCCTTCATTTACCGATGTGGCTCAAAAAGTTAACAATATGGATCAAATCCACTGCCTAATTTTATGAACCCTATATTGTCCCCTTTTATTACCGTACAGAAATGTGTGATTTTCCGTACGCAGAAAATATACAGCTTGTAGTTTGGGAACCCTGAGTTCAAGTGTGGCGGCGGGCGAGTTGAAAATTAATTGGGGACTGAAAGAGTTTTTGAAAACCGTATTATACCCTTCCATCGAGTATAATATTGGAAAAAGACAAAAGTGTGCACCAACGGATCAAAAAATGAATATTTTTACGCACGTTTTCCATGAAATAGAATTGAACCTTTAGGGGCATCGAAAGTCTATGAGAAAATGCATGTTACTTAAGTACTCGCTTTTTCGAGAGCATAGTTTTTACATGCAGCAGGCAGGAAGTTCATTTGGACGCCGGCATCCTGAAGTGGCTGAATTATTATAGAATTATGCTGCACGATGATTGGCTTTACAACCCTAATTTGTTAATATTTTTCGAAACGAAATCGCATTTCGGAATTGCGGCGGACATTTCATGAGTTAGCTCACATACTGAACGTGCATACACACAGAAGCACACTGGCAGACGTCCGAGTCCCAAGTTACCGTATGTGCGGCACCTTGGCAAAGGGCACTTTACATATCTCCCGTGCAGTCGTCTTGACACGTAAAGAACATTTCAAATTATTTGCTATAAACGGTTCATTTCAAATCTTCTCCATCAGTATCTGCTGCCAAGGAAACTTATCTCGCTGCCGTAGCGGTTACGATAAAACCACTATTTTAGCACCTTCTACCGTGAGTGACCGATTTCATGGAATGCTGCCCGAAATTCTGAAATGCGTTTTCGTTTAGGACGAATTACGTAGGTGGGGTTGTAGCATTTATTATCGTGAGACATAATCCTATAGTATTTTGGACTTGCCAGGATGGCGGCTGTTAAATGCACTTCTTTTCAACATCCTGTAAAAATAGAGCTCCATAAAAAAGGACTACTTATGTAGCAGGCATTTTCTACGTTTATTTTAGATGGTCTTGCAAATTCAAATATACTTTATGGAAAACATGCAGAAAAATATACTTTCTTCCACTCCTTTAGCAGAGAATCACATTATCTTCGTAGCTTATACTTTAAGGAATCGCATATTTAGATTTTGAAAAGTTTCTATGACATTTTCAAGACCGCACAATGTCCATTCATACAACATTGTACCCGTCCGTCTGCCAATGCCTCTCATGAAATGTGCAACATAGTCCGCATTCATTGCAATATTTTTATGAACTTTATAGCATATCTTCTTAAAGGCATGGAGGAATATATGATTTTCTTTAGGCGGAAGTATGCACCATGTAGAATATGGTCTTTAAACTCTAATGTACCCGTTGATCTGACTCTAAATTATTCGGAATTGAGGAACTTTTTCAAGCCTAAATATACGCTTTTTCGGGTATAAAGTGTGAAGGAAACACGATTTTCCCCGGCAAAATTAAACGAGCATAGTTTTATACATCCTCTTTCATAAAACATGATTAAATTTATAAGACCATCGAAAATCCACATGCAAATATATGCCACTTAAGCAGTCATTTTTTAACAAGTAAGTTTCTGCAGGAGATCGGAAAGCAGTGCACTCAAAAGCCGCCATCCTAGCGAGTCCGAAATACTATAGGATTATGTCGCATGATAATCAATATTACAACCCAACCTAAGTAATCCTTCCTAATGGAAAACGCATTACAGAATTTCAGCCAACATTTCATGAGATCGGTCACTCACTGTGCATTCTCACCTCTTCGCATTCGGCGTTGGTAGTCAACGATTTTCTGCGTCAAGTGCTTCGGCACCGTTGCCAATAAGTGACGCAAACATTAAGTTGTTGATGAGCTCTTGGAGCACGTCTCAGCACGCACATCAGATGACAATGTAACATGCAAAATAACTAAACATCTGCCAAATGTGTTTTTTAGGCTGCGCCAGTCTCTTAACCGTTCTCAACGCGATACACTCCACAATTAATTCCCGGCATTCTTCATCTTCCTGTGCTTCATCTTCTCCCACTAACTTAGCGCTGTACCTGATTTCCAACATACTTTCCTAAATTATTTATTACATTTAATTTTTACGCTCATGATGCACTCCGTAGGCTTTATTGCCTTGAATTCCCGATGTCTTGACTCCCTTACTGTCAATTTCGTCTCTGCAATTTTTTCCACAAAAAGACACCGAAAGGTTACGATGGGTCTATCGTCGCCTTTTTTCTCCTTTTTGTTATTTCCTGTTCAATTTTGCAGCTGACAAGCTCCTTCCTGAGCGTGCACCCAAAGTCATGGCTCATGCCCCTTTTTTTGATCTGACAGCGTCCGAGTCACTCCATCCAACCCAGCCCGACTTTCGTCTTATTTCATGCGTAACATCAGCGTTCAGTGTTTCGGTCACGCACTGACAGAGTAAAAGAGCACGAGAAACCCTTTAACTACTTATTCTAGTACCTGCTTCTTTTTTCGGGCACAAGGGTTAGAATATTATTGGGTAAATATGTTGGTGTAATAAGAAGAAAATTACTTGCGCTTTCTGGCTGCCTAAGCCTCCCTCACAGAATAGCAGTTAAGTCGGAGGAACACGGACCAAAGCATGTTCCTTAGACGTGTTTGGATATTCTTACTGTTTCTTTAACGAATACAAACACACCGTGTAATCGTGATAGGGTCGATGTTTGCATAAAAAAGTAACTAAATTAGATTTCCTTAATTCTGTGTAACCCGACATTAAAAAGCCGGGGGAGTGACGTCTTGGATGCATG